GAATCAGCTGCGGATCAGTTTCAGCAGCAGCTGACTTGGGGTTCTTAAGTTGAATCTGTATGTAAGTCAGAATTGGCGGTCAGTTTCAGCAGCGGCTGAATCTGGACGCCAGTTCCGACTTACATACAGATTCAACTTAAGAACAAACCTACAGTCTCTATCTTGTACGTAACCCGGGGACTGCCTGCAATTCAGTAACATGAAGGGACAAGTACTCTAGGCTAAATAAAGGAAATTTAATCCTTCCATTCTATGAGCGGCTGAACCAATGAAGTGCGGTCAGTTTCAGCAGCGGCTGAATCTGGACGCCAGTTCCGACTTACATACAGATTCAACTTAAGAACAAACCTACAGTCTCTATCTTGTACGTAACCCGGGGACTGCCTGCAATTCAGTAACATGAAGGGACAAGTACTCTAGGCTAAATAAAGGAAATTTAATCCTTCCATTCTATGAGCGGCTGAACCAATGAAGTGTACGGGGTGTCTGCTGATTCTGGCTGGCTACGAAGTCAGCTGGAGGTGTTCTTTCAGATGCCCTAACAACTGAGGAACTGACCCTTGTTGCAGCTGGACAGGTGTGAAATGTCTGAACAAGTTGAATGTAAATGGTATTACCTGATTCTATATCCAGTGAACATGCCAGTGTTGACAAGAGAGGGGCACACCAGTGTAGTCTTCACTCCATTGGCTCGCTTGGCTTTCAGCTGGTGGCTAAGAGCTTCGTGGAATCCAACTACTGCAAATTTGCTGGCACAGTAATCCTGCAGAAAATGAGGCTTTACCTACTGGTAGGTGAAGGAAGAAACTTGTTCTTACTGGAAACACTCTTAGGCCATGTCTATACTTACATGCGAATCGATGCGCCAGAGGTTGATCTTCTGGCATTTGATTTAGTGGGTCTGGTAAGGACCCACTAAATCAAATGCTGAGGGTACCCCCAGTAATGCTGGTACTCCTACTCTTTGCCAGGAATAAGGGAAGTCGATGGGAGCATTTCTCCCATTGACCACCTGTTATGAGGAAAGCACCAAAGTTCAAATCAAGGTACATCAACTCCAGCTTCACAACTTAGCTGGAGTCATGTATCTTAATTTAAATGTATCCCCTAGTGTAAACCTGGCCTTTGGTAGTAGACAGTAATTGCTAGCTTAGCTATGGGAGTGCCGTAGGTTGGCTTCTCTTCACAGAGCAACTTTGCTCATTGAACCAAAGCATTCCTGTGAATGTGTGCTGAAAACAGATTCTTGTGCCTGGGTTAGTTTTCCATGTGTCAATTTCAGTATTGTTGTGGATTGGGTTAAAATATTTTTAAAATTGACGAGTGTGAATGCTGTAAGAAACAGCTCTAAGGGGCATCACCTGAAAGAAGGCATAAAAGAGTCTGGCCAGAAACTAGCACTGTGCGGGTGGAGGGTTAGACTGGGTACTGTTTGACCAACGTACAAACTGAAGTGCAGACAAATTCAGAGAACATACAGAAACTGAAGCATGTATACTGTGAGAGAGGGAGAGCCTGGAGAAGTACGGTGTATGTCCCTAGAAGAAGCAAGAGAGGGATTTTGGGTCTGATGCTGGCTAAAGAGGCTTGATCGAGGCTGAGCAAAGAAGCTATTCTGGGGGTTTTTTGGTTCCTGTTGCATTAGGAGAAGCAGGACTTTGTACATTCCTGAATTTAAAAAATAAAAAGCATCAAAGAAAACACCAGACTCTATCATTAATTTCTGCTCATAGCTGGAACATCTTCTGGGTCCAAGCTTTGACTGGCAAACCAGGTCAAAAAGCAGTAATAGTATTCTGGGCCAAACAAATGTCCCAAGTAATTGGGACATAAGGATGCAGTCGTATGTTTCAATGAGTTCCTGCACTCAAAACATTTTTCTTTTTATCTCTGATTTAAACTCCTTTTTAATTTACCATATTGTCCTATAATCTCTCTTTGATCCAGGAGACTGTCTGTCTTTGCCCCCCCAGATAAATGTCTTTTACTAGCAATGCCTGCTGATAAACTACAGCTGCCAATGAATTAAGGATGAGATCTAAAACCCAATGGGAGATTTTCGTTTGGCTTGGATCTGACTCAGAGCCAGGTGTTTTTAGTGCTTAGATGTGCTGTTTTGTTTGCAAAAATGTGCATAGTTGTGAACCTCACTTCCCCATACAAATCAGGTCAGTACAGACCTGAAGAGTGAGGTGTATTTACACCATCAGTTTAGCTTTTTAAATCTGACCACAGCACTAACATTGCTTCTGTAATACTTTCCAAATGCCTAATCCATATTGTCATGGCTCTTTAAAGGGATGCATACAAATCCTGTAATTATACTGGTTTTTTTCCTTAATTTCAGGGACCTCATTTTCCACCCCTTATTTAGTTTGGGCTGTCAGATTGTTTCTGAAGGCCTTGTCATTAGCATCAAATGTCCCATTTTTACTGTCTCATATACTAACATGGCTACCCTTCTAACTTTAAAACAGAATAGTCCTGTGGCACCTTAGATACTAACAAATATCTAGTTCATGAGCTATTTTTACTGTACATTCCAGGTAATTTGCTCTCACTTGAGTGCTCCCCTTTTCAGCGGCTGAGAATGTTTCAAAGTTTTAGCACCAATCGGCTCTTGTGATAAGCAGATCTCTCAAACCTCCCACTTTTTTAATATGGATAATGGACTGAACTGCACGGCACACATTTGAAACATGCTGAGAGAATAGTCGGGTCACTTGCCAAAGATGACAATTGCTGATATTTAATTTTCATATGCTGCCAACTTTTTAACAAAGGTCACCCTGTCCTCAGGAGAACAGTGTACAATGCAATGAACTATGACTAGGATTGTCAAAGGGAAAAGGATTTTCAAAGGAGACCAAGAGAGTTAGATGCCCAAATGCTACTAAAGTTCAATGGGATTTGGATGTCTTCAGTTATAACATTTGCATTTCATCTGTCTATTCCGCAGTGCTTTAACCAGTAGATATGCATTGTTATCTCTGTCCTAAAGATGAGGAAAATAAGTGCTATGATTTGGGAATACAGAACCATATGTCTAGAACCCAACAAGAAATTCTATGTTGACATAGCATTGGAAGGTTTTCCATTGGCCTCTGATGAGATAATGATTATTTGCAATTTAGATCTAAGGAAACTGGCTTGAAAGGGTTAAGTAGTTTGCCCGAGGTCCCCTCAGAATCAGTGTCAGAGGTGGTATTAGAACTCCAAAGTATCCCAGCGCTGTGCTCAGGCCACTAATCTACCCTAGTGATGCTTTCTGTTTTATCAACCACAATACGTTTAAGGGGGGAAACACCCATGAAATTAAATACAACTGCTAAACTGTTAGGCTGTGTCTAGACTGGCCAGTTTTTCTGGAAAACCAGCCGCTTTTCTGGAAAAACTTGCCAGCTGTTTACACTGGCCACTTGAATTTCCGCAAAAGCACTGACGATCTCATGTAAGATTGTCAGTGTTCTTGCGGAAATACTATGCTGCTCCCATTCGGGCAAAAGTCCTTTTGCGCAAAACTTTTGCATAAAAAGGCCAGTGTAGACAGCTCAGATTTGTTTTCTGCAAAAAAGCCCCGATCGCGAAAATGGCGATTGGGGCTTGTTTGCGGAAAAGCGCGTCTAGATTGGCACGGACGCTTTTCCGCCAAAAGTGCTTTGGCGGAAAAGCGTCCATGCCAATCTAGACGCTCTGTTCCAAAAATGCTTTTAACGGAAAACTTTTCCTTTAAAAGCATTTGCGGAAAATCATGCCAGTCTTAGACGTAGCCTTAGAAATTGCTGTGTGCTGAAAGAAAAAAGTGGAGTCTAGTAACCAAACTGGACCTTGGCTTGACAGTTTCTATGTCTTAGCATTACCTGCTCCCGCCGCTTGGGGAAAGCTTAAAAACATTCCGATGCATTTTAAAGCACACACTTGTGTAAGGTGCGGCGCTTTCATTGAGACTGCCTGCTATGGGAAGGTGCTCAGCACCCAATGAGAGTAAGCCCTCAAATGTTTGACTGTCTGGATATGTCTAGATTACATCCTTTTATTGAAAAAGGGATGTAAATTAGACATATTGAAATTGTAAATGAAGACGGGATTTGAATTTCCCACGCTTCATTTACATAATGGTGGCCACGGCTTTTTTCGGAAAGCCGCTTTTCAAAAAAGACCACGGTTAAGACAGAGATCTTTCAAAATAAATGCCCCTTTTCGAAAGATCCTGTAATGAGGTTTCAAAAAAAAGCCGTGGCCGCCATTATCATAGAATCATAGGACTGGAAGGGACCTCGAGAGGTCATCGAGTCCAGCCCCCCGCCCTCAAGGCAGGACCAAGCTCCGTCTACACCATCCCTGACAGATGTCTATCTAACCTGTTCTTAAATATCTCCAGAGAGGGACATTCCACCACCTCCCTTGGCAATTTATTCCAATATTTGACCACCCTGACAGTTAGGAATTTTTTCCTAATGTCCAATCTAAACCTCCCCTGCTGCATTTTAAGCCCACTTTATTATGTAAATAAAACGTGGGAAATTCAAATCCCGCCTTCATTTACAATTTTGATATGTCTAATTTACATCCCTTTTATTGAAAAAGGGATGTACTCTAGACATAGCCAGTCTCTAGGGAGAATTTAAAGTCAAAGAAAAGCCCCCACTTTGATCTTGCCCTGAGAGCTCTGCTTCTATGGTGAGTCATAGGTACTGACCTCCACGTAAGCTGTTGCAAAGAGGCCCAAGCATCCTGCTACAGTCACAATGTGGCCGTGGTCCATCTCCATCATTTTTGGCATGAAAGCCTTGACAGTCTGCATGGAAAGAAGGAAGAGAGCTTATTCATGTGTACCACTAGCCTACTACACTTGCACACCTAAGCTGCATGCAGGTACTGTCCTTTAAGGTCTGTTGTACTGATGTTCTGCTGGCTCACACATTTATTGCTATTCTTTGCTGCAGTTAGGGTTGCCAAGTGTCTGGTATTCTACCAAACAGTCTGGTATTTGCGCTTTGTCGGTAAAAAAAAAAATCAGAGAATACCGGACATGTGCACTGTCCGATATTCTCTGATTTTTCTGGCTGCGCACTGAACGGAAGCCTGGCGTGGGTGGGAGGAGCAGCGGGAAGGCGGGGCCACGATCAGCGCTAGGAACGTGTGATTGCGCAGAAACCTGGCGGGGACGGGGGAGTGGGTCCCAGCTGGGAGTCCCAGCTGGGAGCTCGACCAAGAAAATACCGTGTGTTTGGTACTTTTTAGGAGACCATCTGGCAACCCTAGCTGCAGCTCAAAAGACTCATGGCTCAACTTTTACTCCAGAGAAGCAGCTTCATTTACTGGCCTTGATTCCGTTATGTGGAGTCAAGATCTTAGGCATTTGCAATTTTCTTGTTTCTGATTTGGCAGCTGCATGGAGATTTTTCCAACATACTGGAGATGTGCTGATTGGTGTATTTGTATATTTGTATCAACATTTCACAGAGCCCCTTAGCAGAGATTTTTTTCATGGCTTTCCAGTCAATGATGCATGTGATTTAACATCAGGCAGATGGGTTTGGACTATAAAATTACAACCTGGATTTGCCCAATGTTTGGGCAATGTAGGCTCTGAAGTTTTGATTTAGCTCATTATGTTACACAGAGGCCAAACTGTTTTGATCTCAACTCCATCCAAATTTGGGGAAACTGAGATCCAGGGTTCTGGTTCAAGCCGATATCTAGCTATTGGCCATTTACATACTAAATTCATAAGGATCCCACAGAAACCAGTGTCCTCCATTTTTGTAAATCAGAAGGTTTTCTTGTTTGATTAATGCTTATTTGGGCACCAGAGGAAAAGAACGACAGTCTGTCAGTACGGGGGAGGGGAGATCACATTCAGAGATTATTGAAAACACATCCCTTTAAAGTTCAGATGCAAATGAAGGTTTTCCATATTTTAAAGCAGAAAGAGTATTTGCATAATGTGGCCTTCAATGGGAGCATTAGTGTAATTACAGACCTCCAGCATTCTTTTATCCATCCCATTGGTTAGAACTGCTCTCCGCCACTTCTATCATAGCTCAGACTGGTAGAGATGCACTGGCAGGAGAGCAAGAATCTCTAATGTAGGCCAAGCTAAAATGTTAACTGAAGACGCAGCCCAGAATCATCTTTACCTTGCAGTGCTGTGCAAAAAGCACGCCTGCCACAAAAGTGAGAACTCTGATAATGGTGCGGCTGTCATCTGGGAGATGTGTTCTGTTGGCTAATGCACTGATAAATGGCCGGAACCCAGCAAAGCTTTCATGGGCTGGCTGGAAGCCACTGATGCTTTCAGAGAAGAGCTGTGTCTGCATCCAGAAATGAAAAACAATGGGAGCTAAGGTGGGTCCCAGCTATCTATCATGCACTTACAAACTGCCTTTAGAAGGGCCCTACTAAAATCAACTCAAAGTCAATCCAGAAACCGTATTTAAACAGTGCTTTGGCCAAAGAGATTTCTATGAAAAAATCTGAATGTGACCAAGGGAGATCAGGTAACTCCAAGCAACACATAACTGTATCTCAGCCATTTGTTTGATTTTCTTAGCCTCTCCTACTTTCCCTTTCCTGCCAATTTAGGAAACACTGATGCCCATTTAAAGTTCCTTTTCAGTTGCACACGTGAGATGGTTTTGCTGGGTAACAAGATTAGTTTTCTCTGTAATCCTCTTAAAATATCCTTCCTCGGGTTGTCTTTTCATCTTTGGGTCCTGTGAAACTGGGATCAATGCGATCCAGACCTCATTCCTCAAGTCCGTGACTGATAAGCTACTTTCCAGAATTAGCTGCCTACAACCACAAATCATACATTGAACAACAACTGTTACCAGAATGTAATTGGGCAGTTTCAGAATACAATATTTTGCATAATGCCTAAATGCACTCAGCACTGTATCCCTAGGTAAGATGGATGGAACCACATAAGCTATGTTGTTTCAGACGGGATAAACTCAAAATACCTCTCTTGGGGTACGTCTACACTACAGCGCTAATTCGAACTAACTTAGTTCGAATTAGTTAATTCGAACTAAGCTATTTCGAACTAACACGTCTAGAACTAAAAACTAGTTCGAATTAGCGTTTTGCTAATTCGAACTAGCATGTCCACATTAAGTGGACCCTGAACCGGGCTTAAGAATGGCCGGAAGCAGTGCCGGCAGGGCATCAGAGGAGGACTCCGAGCGTGGAGATGCTGTCTCAGGCTAGCCGAGGGCTGCGCTTAAAGGGTCCTGACCCCCACCCTGGACAGACAGTTCTCAGGGGTGCCCCGCTTGCAAAGCAGTCCTGGCTTGGAGTGCCCGGAGTACCCACACTGGGCACATCACACCACTCGGCCATCAGACCGGCTGCCCTTGCCGCAGGCTGCCATCTAGGGAGAGGGGGCAATTGAGGGGCTGCAGGAGCCCTTCCCCCCCCAGAAGCCCGCAGAGCCAGCCCAGTCCTCCCCATCGGGGGCTCGTGCCCCATTCCTCCCTCCCTTCCTTCCACTTACCCTTCCCTAGCCCCTTTTCTTGATGTCCAAAATAAAGGACAATTGTGTTCAAAAATGGAATCTGTCTTTATTGAACAAAACTGGGGGAGACTGGGAAAAGGAGATGGGAGAGGCTGGGGGAGGGGAGGGCAACTACAATGATCAGGGGTTGGGAACAGGTCCCATATGAAGAGAGGCTAAAGAGACTGGGACTTTTCAGCTTAGAAAAGAGGAGACAGAGGGGGGACAGGATAGAGGTCTCTAAAAGCAGGAGTGGGGTGGAGAGGGTGCATACAGAAAAGTTCTTCATTAGTTCCCATAAAGAAGGACTAGAGGACGCCAAAGGAAAGGAATGGGTAGCAGGCTTCAAACTAGTAACAGAAAGTTGTTCTTCACAAAGCAAAGAGTCAACCTGTGGAACTCCTTGCTGCAGGAGGCTGGGAAGGCTAGAACTGGAACAGAGTTTAAAGGGACGTAAGATCAAGTCATGGAGGTTGGGTCCATGGAGGGCTATTAGCCAGGGGGTAGGAGTGGTGTCCCTGCCCAAGGTTTGTGGAAGGCTGGAGAGGGATGGCACGAGACAAATGGCTTGGTCGCTGTCTTCGGTCCATCCCCTCCAGGGTCCCTAGGGTTGGCCGCTGGCGGCAGACAGGCTACTGGGCTAGATGGACCTTTGATCTGACCCAGGACAGCCATTGTAAGCTCAGGGCTCAGGGTCGGGGATCTCAGTTTACCCCCTTGATTTTCATGCACACCTGCTCCTGGGTGGCCAGGCTGGCAGCTCTCCTGCCCTAGACGGCCACTTTCCTGTGCCTAGTGCGGAGATCGTGGACAAAGTCCACGATGTCCGCACTAGCCCAGGCAGGGGCCCGCCTCTTGCGGTCCCGGGCAAGCTCCCGGGAGCCGCCAGCCTGGTCCCGGGAAAAGGGGGAGGGCTGGGGGGCATCGGGTGGCTGGTTCAAGCCGTGCCAGGTGCAGGGTCTGCTGGCTGGGTGCTGGCAGGCTTGCACCTGGCATGGGCACCATAGCCAGCCTGTGCCCCTTTAAGGGGCCCGGGGCTGGGAGGGGGGCAATAGAGTTTCCCTGGGGTTGGCCAGAGTGGCCACCAGGGAAACCTGGGGAGGGCTAGCCTCCCACTAGTTCGAACTAGGCTTAATCCTCGTAAAATGAGGATTACCTAGTTCGAACTAAGTGCTCCGCTAGTTCGAATTAAGTTCGAACTAGCGGAGCGCTAGTGTAGCGCCTATGAAAGTTAGTTTGAACTAACGTCCGTTAGTTCGAACTAACTCTGTAGTGTAGACATACCCTCGGGTTTCTCCTCTGGCTAGCTCTTTGGAGAGTAGGGATGTTAAATATCGGTTAATTGAAAAGTCAATTAATCTCAAGAATTCTTATCAGTCAATTATTCTATAGTTCCTGGGGGACCAGGCCGGCAGCCAGTGCCTCTGTATCAGGTGGAAGCTGGTCCATGAGGGAAGCCAGTTTAAAAACCAGATCCCCTCGCAGACCAGCTGCTTGTCGCCCTGTGCTGCTGCCTCTGATAAAGAGGCAGCAGCATGGGTGGCAGCAGCCCCTCTTTGTGGGGGTCTGAGCTCCCAGACCCAGCATGAGCCGGAACTGAATCGGGCTGCCTACCTGCCTGGTTTCTAATACACTTTAAATGCAGATCCGCAGCAGGGGTAGGACCTGGACTCATCAAAAGCCAGAACTGAGCTGGGCTGCTGGCCAGCCTGCTGCTAAATTTACAGATGGGGGAAGAGGAAGGGAAATGCATGTTGCCTGTAGTATTAACCTATAAGCTTTTGCTTTTCCATTAATCGGTTAATTGACTATATTATTACACCCCTACTGGAGAGAACTAGTATATTTTCAGTCTAGTTCATACGTTTGCAGGATATCTTCTTGCACTCTTGTCCTCTTGATGTTAAATAACATCCTTAAACCATCCTCCCAACTAAGGCTTCAGGACATACTTTTCTCCATGTTGGTTTTGGTTTGGCCGCTGTCACCAGAATCAAAATTGTGAAACAGAGGCTGGTTGTTTGGGTTGAGAAACCAGTGTGGCAATCAAACGGTGCTCACACTTCATTTAACATAGTAGACCTGAGCATTTGGTTACTCAGCAGGACCAATGAGCATTTTACACAGAGAGAAAGTGAGGCACAGAGCAGTGACATGAGTGGGATGTGGGACCTAGAACTGCTCACTTCCTAATCCTTTGTTTGTTCCAATAGACCACTCTGCTTCTCAAACAGACATGCTCGCAGACATGAGGCTGAGACAGCTTTCCCCCTTGCTGTCCTATGTTGCACTAGCCC